ATTTAATTGTAGAAACTGTCTAATTTCTTCTTTATTTTCATCTGTGACCCATTGATTGTTCAGGAGGGTATTATTTAGTTTGCATGTTCTTATAAAACTTTTGTGGTTTCTTTTCCCATTGACTTCCAATTTCATTGCACTATAGTCTGAAAATATGCATGGGATAATTTCAGATCCTTTACATTTACTTAAGCATGTTCTATGAGCTAGTATGTGGTCTATTTTGGAGACTGTCTCGTGTGCAGCTGAGAAGAGTGTGTGTATTCTCATGTTGTGGAATGGATCACTCTGTTGACATCTACTAAATCCATTTGTTCAAAAGTTTGGTTCAGTTCTGATATGTCATTGTTGAGTTTTTCTGTAGTTGACTTGCCTATTTATGACAGTGGGGTATGGAGGTCCCCCGTTTATAATGGTATTAATGCTTTTTGTTTTTTTCATGTCCATTGATATTTGTTTTATAAGTTGGTTATACTGGTATTCATTGCATATATATTTATGATTGTTATCTCTTCTTCTTGGATTGTTCCCTTTACAAGGAGGTGTTAACATTCTCTGTCTTTCTTAAACAGTGTTGGCTTGAAATCAATTTTCTCTGCAAATAGAACAGCTGCTCCTGCTTTTTGTCTGGCTTTCCTGTTGCATACAGTATAGTTTTCTATCCTTTGACTTTCAGTCTATGAATTTCTTTTTGAATTAAATACGCATATTTTTGGATCTTGCTTCTTGAACTATTCTGTCAGTCTGTTTCTTTTGATTGATGAATTGAGACCATTAACAGTCATGGTTATAACTGATATGTATTGACTTATCTTTGTTATGTTATTTTCCTGTTGTTTTTAGCTTTTCCCCTCTCTGTTTAACTGTTTGCCTTGCCTAGTGTATTCATTCTGTTGGGGTTCATGGAATTGTAATCCTTGTTATCTCTTCCTAGACTATCCTTCAAAATACTTTAGAGTGCTGGTTTGGTGTCCATGAATTTCCTCAGGTGTTCTTTGTCATGGAACATCAATTATTTCTCCATCAATTTTGAAAGATACTTTTGTGGGAGAACATCAATCTGGGTTGGAGTCTGTTTTCTTTTTGGGCTTGAAATACTTCACTCGGAGTTCTCCTCAACTGGAAGGTTTGTGTTGAGAAGTATGCTGTGATTCTGATCGCTTTTCCTTTGTAAGTGATTTGTTTCTTTTCTCTAACAACTTTTAATATTCTGTTATTACGTTGAATTTCTGGAACCTTGACTATTATATACTTTTGTGTATTTTTCTGGACCAGGACTAATTGCAGTTTTACATGCCTCACTTACTGTTTCTAAATTTTTTTTCCCTGCTTGGGAAGTTTTCTGCCATGACCTCTGTGAACAGGTTTCTAACATTATTTGTGCTATGTCCTGCTTTTTCACTGATTCTGATCAATCTTACATTATTGTTCTTTGCATCAACTGGCAGTTACTGGATTAATTTTTTTGTGGTCTCTTGCCATTTTTAAGAAATCTTTCTTTTCATGATTGCTAATCATAATCCTGTCTTCTGTATCTGATATTGTTCTCACATTGGCCCATTCTGTTATGTAGACTTTCAGTGGAATTTTTAATCTCCTGGTTATCTGTTTGAATCTGCTTCATGGATTCCATTTCTTTGCTATGCTGGTCATTCACAGTTTCTTTCATTTTCCTGACCTCTTTTATCTGTAACTACTCTAGAGTCACTAAGCATGTCTTACACTATAGTCACCATCTCTGTAGTTATCTGAGAAATTATTTCTGATTTGATTCTTTCTAGAGTCTCACTCATCTCTTTGTTACTTCCACTGTTACCACTTCAGAAAGTCCAAGTGGGTGGCTTTCAGATTGTTTCTCCTCATTGCCCCCTGGGTTCACCTTTGGTGAGCTCGAAGTCTGGGGCTGCATCTGTTTGTCTTCACATTTTCTACTTATTTTCAAGTTTAATTCCTGGGTTGGTGCTTATTACTATTATCTAGAATGCTTAGGAAATGACTACTTCTCAGGTGTAGATGGATTTTGGCTTTTGAGTCTGTGGCAGGATCCTACCTCTTCAATTTATTGGGGATGAGAAATTGCTGTCTACTTGGCCCAGCCCCTGGATCTTCGGCAGTGGCCTACAGTATTTTTTATGACCTTTAGGCAGTCTCGGTCAGGAAGAACAATAAGAACAATTATGTCACCTTGGCTAAAGTGGTACAATCACCAATAAGGGTAGCCTAGAAAATGACAAACTGCAGTAACTATTAATTTGCTACCTTTAACTGTATGAACTAGATTTGTATATAAGAAAATCTAAAACAAACCAGAACATTATATGCAGGAAATAAGCCTTCAATATGGCAATTTTACCCTCAGGAGAGAAAATTTAAAAGGGATTAGGGGTGAAAATTGAGAAATACAAGAAGAGGAAGAGATTAGAAGACTTGAGGACAAAGGAAGATCATGCAAACTTCGGAAAACTGGTGAAGAACAGAGAAGGAAGAAATAAAAACAAGAGCAGAACAGAACAACAACAAAAAAAGTAGAGATCATGTTCATACTCATATAAAAACAAGACCAAACGAGAAAAAAATAAGAAAGAAATAGAAAAAAAGATAATAAGGAAAAAAAAAGTTCACTTTAAAGTGTGTCTCTGGCCAGGCATGGTGGTGCCAAAGACCCAGCTCAGAACTGGCTGTCCTTTTCTGCCATGTGCCCCATTAGGGTCTGTAACCTCTGTAGCTGGATCACCTACCTCACCTGTTATAGGAGCAGGCCCTTGGGGTCATCAAAACGATCAAGTGAGTCACCACACGGAAGGGTGCAGACAACACCTGGAACATAGTGAGTCTGTGCTCAACATCCTGGCCACAGGCTGTCCACGTCTCAGGGAAAACTGTGTTTAAACTTTGCTCAGCATTAGCACCTGGCTGTCACTGGCTACTTCTTCCTTAAGTGACCAGCAGCATCCACCAACTTCCCCAGGACTCAGGCTCCATACCTGCCAATGTGTCTGCCATCTTCTAGAATCGTGCTTGCTGAGCGAACTTCTGCAATCCCATTCCTCACCCCAGGGCTGCTGAGAGCAGGTGGGAGCCTGACACCTCCCTGTGCACAGTGCTTGGGTGTGGCCTTCTGAACTGCTCAGGCACTGCCCTGGCCTAAGGAGACGCATGCATGAGTGGCTTTTCTTCCCTCAGAGTCCTGGGCTGGGCATGGGGTCTTGGAGCAGGCCTGAGAACAGGACCTGGGTGGGCTCATTGCTCTTCAGATCTTGACATTTCTCGATTTGAGGTTGTTTAATCCCTGATAGGAACCTCCTATCGAGTCATGTTCCCCTATTTGAAAATTTAGAACAAAAACACTTCCAATGATAGCCTTCCAGCAAAGATGGGCTCACTGTTCAGATCCACTGATATCCTCAAAGTCAGGAGCAGAACACATAGAATAGGGGGAAGTAAGGTGCAGTTCTGGAGGAGGGGGCTTGTCCTGCTGGCTCTGGGCCTCCAGAGCACATTCCCTGTGGGCCCGAGGGGCAGCGTGGAAATAAGATTGGGAGAGAGAAGCTGGTAGGGGGGCCAAATGCAGAGTAAAAAATACAGCTTCAAAAGCAACAACTCCAGAAGGGGTGATTTTCCCTACAAATTAGAAAGCGATGCCTCAATATACCTGACTTATCAGGAAATCAAACAAAATTTATGCAAAGATTTTGAGCACTTACTCAAACTAGAACACCTCGCTTGCATTTGGGATGTGCTGTCTACTTAGGAGTGTGGGGAACCGCTGGCTGCAGGAGCTGGAACATGGGCACATTTATACCGAAGGGGTGCAGGCAGAGCAGGGCAGGAGCTGGCAGCCAACTGCAGCTGCCCCAAGAGCTTAACGGAGGTCACCCACGTTCCCCAAATGCTGCAGAGTGCCGTGGAGAAATGCCCCGAGCTCCACCTGCAGCCTGATCAGACCAGTCATCAAGGAAAGCCACACAGATTGGCCTCTCAGACACAGGCCGGAGGGTGGATCTGAGGACACAGGGAATGGTCAGCATGTGCCCTCTTGTGGGAAGATGCTTTGGTTTCCTGGAAAATGGAGCCTGTGGTTCCTGCTGTGCGATTCAGCAAAACTGCGCAGGGTGCCTGCAG